TTGCAGATTGAGCTGCAAACTGCATTTTTTTTAATATAAAAGCTTCAAAATACCCCACTTGTAGCCCGTGGGAGGAATGGCTCTTCTGAAGGCGCGGAGCAGCGGTGTTTTCGGAAGCGGCTGGCTTCTTCCCCGGGCACGCAGCCGTGGTCTGGGCACACTGCTCAGCATGCCTGTGGGGCTGAGCTGGCGGTGCCAGTGCTGCCGGGCTGTGCCTGTGCCGAGCACTTCTTGCGGTTGACCATGGAAGGCTTTCGTGGGCAGGCTCTGTGCACCTGTATCCTGCCTGCTCACGGGGGGTGTCGGTGGTTTGTGAGCTGTCTGGGCTACACTAGCCCCCCCCCCGGAGCAGATTTGAAGGTTGCGTGCATGGGACAGCTCGCTAGGTGAGCTTTGCCTGTGCTGTGTGGGTCATTCCCACCCAGGAGAGCTTGACAAAGCCACATGCTGGACCCCACGCCCCCTGATGCCACCCTGCCCAAGCCCCAGCAGGATTCGCTCCATCAAATGGTCAGGGAAAAAAAAAATGCCATCCTGGCAGTCACCCAGGGATGTCATGGAGCAGGGACAAAGCCCAGGGGAGGCGTGGGTGGCATTGGAAGGGCTGTGTTGGACACTGGCCCATGCCAAGCATCACTCTGGGTCCTCCTCGGCTCTGCTGAGGGGCAAAACCCCAAATTACCGGTGCTTCTGCCAAGGGATGGTGCCAAGCTGGGCTGCGCGTGGTTGAGGGGGGTGAGCAGTCCAGGGCTCGTGGCTGCTGGGCTCGGGAGCTGCATCCTTCCCTCTCATGAGCGCTCCGGGTCTTTACCCTGCTGCCAGCCAGGAAGCAGAGGTACAAACCAGGTGCAGCCAGCGGGTTTGTTGGCCTCCTGGTGCCACCTGCTGTTGTTTCCCCCAGGCAGAGCTCCTGCAGGCAGAGCCGCGCTGGGCTGACCAGCGCAGCCTGCTCCTCTGGAGATAACAGCAGGGAAATGCCCTTTCCTCCCTGGAAACGGGCCCTGGCCGCTCCTCGTAACAGGCTTCCTGATCGGGAACAGCAGTGCAATGCGGGCAGGCACCGGCTTATCCTGCCTGCTGCAGGCTCACACCTGCCCTGCCCTGCCTGTGCCGGCATCCAGAGCTCTGCCAGCTTGTCCCAGGAGTCCCTGGCCATGCGCTGAAGGCTGCTGCCAGGTCCTGCGGGCAGCAGGGCCTGGGTGCTGCTCCGCTCCCAGGGCAGCGCACGGGCTGGGGGCTTCGGGACGGGTGCAGCCCTGGGTGGGGTGTGGAGAGGCAGTGCTGCGGCTGGGGAGGGGGTTCTGCCCCCTGGGGGAAGGGGGGGGGGGAGAAACAAGGAGCACCCCCATAGTGGAGGTGGTTGTGGTCCCCTTGCAGCCTTGGGGCTATTACTGGCCCGTGGACATCCCGAGTCAGGAGATGGATTGGGGTTGTGCTAACATGGGGAAGGAAAATCCTGTCCCCGAGCCCTGTCAGACTCTGCCAGGCAGCGCGTGGACTTTGCTGCTTCTTGAGATTTCCTGCGTGGACACCTGATACCTGCCCCAGTGTGGGATTACGATCCAGCCTGGCCAATCAACCTCCCAGAGCTGCCTCCTCCCCTTCTCCTGCTCCCAGTGCTGCTGCCACCCGTGCCCAGTGCTCTGCCTGCGTGTGCTGTGGGTCCCTGGGATCACGGTGTGGTTTCTGTTTAGCTTGAAGATGTGCAAGGAGGTCCTGTGATGGTCCTGGGCTGGTGTGTGCTGGCAACTCGTGCATGGGCAGGCTTGAAGGACTCTCTTCTGCCAAGAGCTTTGCTTTATTCCTACCTGCAGGGTTTTAAGCATCACCCATAGCTCTGATCTGGGCTTCATGTGACCGTGAGTTTTTCCTTGGATGTGGTAATTCAGGGACAACTTCTCCCCGGTGTTCCCTCATCCCCTCTGCCAAGCCCATCTGCTGACAAGTAAAGCAAATAGGCTGTGCTCGTGGCACCCTCCTGGTAACCTCCAGGGCAAAATGGATTATTGCCTACTTATTTCTGACAAGGGGACCTTTGCGCTTCTCCCTGAGACAGCTTATTTGAGCCTGATCAAAAACTTCCTGAAAGCCCGAGTCTGCTGTGTCAGCTGGACTACCCTTCCCAGCGATCCAGCAGGCTGCATCGAGTTTTCATAACCTGCTTTGCAGCACTTGGAGGGCTTGGTTTGTGCATGCTTTGGGCGAGTGTGAGCTCCCAGGTCCTGAGCGTGCCTTGCGGGTGGCTCTTTTCTGGTTATAGCTTGCCAGAAGCATTTGGGCAGTGCCTGGAGATGTGTCCTGCTCTGGGAGACTTGCTCTCGATTTGCAGAAGGGGTGGCCAGGTACAAACTGCGTTAAGTGGCACTTGGTTGGTGTAGGAATGGCTTTGCTGGCCAAGACTAATATTGCAAAGAAAGCAGATGATATCCAGGAAGAACTATTTCTTCAGCTGGAAGGAGCTGCTTTTATTTTGCTTGATGTGGAACAATAAAGCGAGTGCCACGGCACTGCTTTGAATGCCCTCCTCGGGGAAGAAGGGCTCAGTGCAGTCATGCAGCAGGAATGCTGCTGGAGACGGTGTGTTTGTCTTCAGGAACAAAAAACACTTCAAATTCAAGGGTGCTGTTTGCTAATTTAGTTGTGTGCATTCACCCTGGGTAGGTCAGAGGAGGCTTTGCTCCCTGCCACTTGTCCCCAGCATCTCCGATCATAGAATCATAGAACAGTTTGGGTTGGAAGGGACCTCTAAAGGTCATCTAGTCCAACCCCCCTGCC